GCAGGAATGGGAGCTGCCCTCCTGGGCACAGCTTCTGCACCGTCTCAGTCCGCCTGGAGGAGAGACCAGGCATTAGGACAGGAAAAGGGAGTTAGGGAGACCCAGAAAGGAGAGATGGAGACATGTGGCAAACAGGCTCCGGATAGAGGGGAAAACAGTTCAGGATGGAAGGACTCAGGTGGGTGAGTGTGTAAGTGTGCATGTGTGTGTGCACAAGGGAGTTTAGAGGAACAGAAGTGCACCTACCTTTTGGTGTCAACAGTGGTGACATTGAAGGTGACTCCCTTGAGCCAGAGCACCATGAACAGTCTCTGGGAGAAGGGGCAGTTCCCGATCTTGGCCCCATCACTGCCAGCCTGGAAAGCAACCCCCAGCCCAAGGTTAGGCCTGGTGCACCCCACTCATCCCCAGGCCATTCTCTGCATCTCCTACTCCCAGACCTAGCTGGTTTCTGCCTAGTCATGACACATACTCAGTCTCACCGCTAAAAGCACCCCTCCAGAACTGGGCTCTCTACCCTGGGGTCTGGGTCAAACCTAAGATGGGTCAGTGAGAATATCTTCTGTAAAGGTAGGCTTCTGGTTCCCCAGAGAGTTGAGGACGGATGGAGGTAGGCAGAGGGAATGGGCTTTGGAGAATTTGGAGGATTTGGACCCTAGAGAGGGAACACTAATGGTGGTGTAGTTAGTTTTCTCTGTACTATCCTAAGCACTTTACATACAAAAACTCATTTAATTCTCACATTGACCCATGAAATAACGCCTAGAGAGGGACTTCCGTGAGGCTAGAGTTGTGGGCTAGAGGCCTGGATTCCTGAATGGAGTACAGCCTGAGAACAGGAGAGGTGGGGCAGGGTTTGGCAGCAGGAGTTCTGGTTCTCTATACCTCTACCCAAGCAGCTGGGTGGGGAGTCAAGGGGCTCAGAGCCTCACCCTAGAGATGTGGAGGGCCTTGCAGAGGGGGGCTGCCCTCTAATCTGCAAGTAGTGACCTCATCCCCCAAAGGACACCTCCCCGTTAGCTGAGGGTGATTCATCTGTGTCTCCGGTCTCAGCAGCTTCCTTCCTGGCAAGCAGTGGGGGTAGGGACCTGTGAGGCTGAGGCCTGGGCAGCGAAGGCCACCTCCCTCTTCCCTGGGCACAGCTGGGGTTTCCCAGGACAAGTCCCCTGGCTCCGGATAATCTTCCTCACACAGGACCCAGGGCTGGAATCTCTGTAGCGCAGACTCACCCAGGAGTAAAAATAAAAATAGCCCCTGAGGCAAGTGTGAGAGTGAGGTGGGGACCACACCTAAGGGGGTCGACCCAGGCATGGCTGAGGGAGAGGGAATGGCTACCGGAGAAGCCCCTGCATAAAGGAGAGGGAGAAACGGGCTGGAACACACAAAGGCTAGATGAACAAAAGCGGGGAAGTGGAGAGAAAGGAGGCAGGAAAGCGAAGGGTGGGGAGAAAGTGTGAACCGGGAGTTACCGACGGAGGGGGAGGTCGCTAAAGGGAGGGAGGGGCACAAAGAAGAGATCCAGAGAGGGGAGAGAATGCAGCGCTAGTGGGGAAGGGAGCGGGGAGGAAACGGCAGCCCGCGGTTTCGATATGCAAATGCCTTGGGACCACCTCTCGTCATCCACACCCGCAGAGAGCACAGAGCTGGGGCGACTCTTTTTCTTCTGTTTTTGTAACCCCCAAACCCTAAACGCCCTAACCCAGCTCTCCTCCTTCTGCTCTCTCCCCATCTACCCTCGCGGTAGCCACAGCTCAACTCTCATCTCCTCGCCACCACCCTTTCTCTCGCTTCTCCAAGTCCTCAGGACACTCATTCTCGACCCCATCACCTCTCTGAGCCAGCTTC